CTCACAGATCATGAGTTCTTCGGAGTAAAAATCGATTCCCTATGTAATCCAATCAATGAATGATTATCGAAGGAAATGGAATGACACAATTTTTGACTTTGGGACATTGTTTGGACTAGTAAGGAGGGAAAAATATTAAAAGTGCCCACTCCCAGGAGGTGAATCAGAAGAGGATGGGCGCCTAGGAGGTTTTTTTTTTTTTCGGATTTTCGCTTATATCAGGAAAACTATCCATCGAAGCGAAAATATAAAATTATATCCGATAAAATTTGCAATATGATTGATTATATAACATTTTTCGCTATCTATCGATTAGTTTCCGAGATATCCTTTCTCGACTAGAGCTACTTTTGAAAAAAAAAAAAGCTTCGGGTTTTTTACTGCATTTGACTAGCTTACGCTTTTTCGCTCCGTTCTACGATAAAGTCATATGGAAGAATTATATTTTTAATGATTAAATTTCCTAAATTTCCTTATGCGTCTGAAAAGAAGATGGCCGTGATCTCCTAATGTAGACATATTATTAGAGTCCTACCATTGGTTAGTTTCTGAACAAGTGTTTTCACCATCGTTATATCCATATGTTCAAATTTAATAAATGTATTTCTTTAATACAGTTGAAAATATCATTAAGAAATAAAAAAAATTTACTCATACCAGACTGAAGCGACAAGAAACCGCTCAACGTTTCCAATTACTTCAGCACTTACTTGACAAACGTTCTTAACTTCCAATTAATTACAAAAGACTCATATGCATGACTATAATAAGGCCTATTTGGACTTACGGAGTTGAGCTATGGGGAGGGGAGAGGGGGGAGGGTCTACTAAACCTTCGAATTCCTCTCGTATCCAATCCTTACAATCCAAAATCCTTTGTTACAAATTAAACCATCCATAATGACCTTAATGTTTCTTTTTTTTTCAAATCTGGCCCAATCCAGATACCTATTCGACCATAATAAACTTCAGATTCATCTCAACCCTCTCGTTTCTAACCTTGCTTCCTCCTAAATTTGTAAATTCCTCCATATATAAAGTTAGGAATTGGTGAAAAGATGATTAAGTAGGTATCAATTTTATCAAACTCAATTCATTATTTTTTAAAAATTGTTTCCTTTACAAAAGCGTAGACATATTTTCCTCGACACTTGTATTTTACAAATTTGACTTATTTGATTTAGCTTAAAGGCGGACAATTTTTTTGGATTAGTGTGCGAATAGTGTACTATCTATTTGATAAAATTCCATTTAAAAACATTTAAACTAAATGTAATTGTTAAGAATATAATAGCTATGAAAACTGGTAAGCAGAGAACATGTGGAAAATGAGGTTATATTTATGATATGGTTAAACGTTTATGGTTCAAGTTTTTAAAATGTATTTCTTTCTGTAGTTGAATCATTGTTACGGGCATTAAAGCTACAGCTGTTAACTCGATTTGATACAATTTTCAAGGATTATGAAAGTCGATGTTCCAATATTGATTTTGTCAAATCTCGTCAATTTTTTTCTGAAGTGGATTTTCGACAGCACAATACAAAAAAAAATCTGGTGAACGCAACACACAACTTACCCCTCTACTTTGAATAAAAATGATTTTCTGGCAATGTTGGGCTATTAAAAAAAGTTTTGAAGTGCATTTTAAACGGGGCCAAAACGTAAAGCTTACCGATAACAAATAATTAACAGCATTAAGATTATAAAAAATGTGTTTATTATATCGACGGTAGACAATTAGAATGTAGTTTTATAAACCACATAACTTCAGTCTCTGTGCCTTTTAGCTTACAGAATGACTAACTCCAATTTCAACATTTTTTGAGTAATGTCATTTAGACTACTTATATCAGTTGCAGACTACACATCACCTTTAGCACAAATAGGATAAAACTTGAAAACATTTACATAAGACCTTTTGCACTAATAGTAGTGATGATATATACTTAATAGGTGTGTTTACATTCGTAAAACAGACGGAACAAAAAAATCCACAGAAAGAATTTAACTTTTTGTTTGTTCGGAGTTAACGAGACCAATACTTTTCTTCAGTCAGAAGAAAATTGATTAAGCTGGAATATAAAAATATACGTGAAGCTCACACGATTTTGATATTTAAGGAGGAAATTGAGACCACAACGAACTGGTTGAACTTCAGTAGAAATAAACACAATCAAAAATAAGACTTTTCTTTTTACAAACTCAGAGTAAAAACTACTTTAAATTTGCTGAAAATTATAAATGTTCTTTGAGACAGGTTGTAATATTTCTCAATAAACAATCTTCTAAAATCAAAAATTTTCTGAATATCACACGAAATTTAAGTAACGGCAGTAAGTGTCATGCCAGTAACGTTTGGAATTGACCAAACAGCAAAATATAAATTAACTTTTTTAATAAAACCTAGAATTTTATAACCTAATATATTGTCAACATAAAAATATTGTCTTAATCTAACTCCCGCTCCACATGATCAATGCCTTCCACATATTATATTGTTAACAATTATTTATATTAATTTTAATTATTGAATGGAATTCAATGAAGGTACTAAGTAATTTCTATAATATTCTCCAAATTTCCTCCAAGTTTGGGTCAATTCGAATGCGCCGTTTTTAAACTATAGGCATACCAAATAAAACATTTCCTGATCTGAAAGCTGAAATATTTTATTTTGGATTAGTAGATAGAATTTGATAAAGTTATCAAGGAAAACACGTTTTCGCATATATAAGAGAAACTAATGAACAGAATTCAATAAAACTGAGACAAAATTATTTTTTTTCACAAATATCTAACTTTGAGCCAAATCGAACGAGCCGTTTCTGAGATATTGGCCTATCTTATAAAATACGTTTGCTCATACGTAAGTAAATTGATATGGGACCAACCCGCACAATCTCTGAAACTTGCATATAAATCGGATAAATGGTAGTAGGTTACATGCCCGTTTCATCGATTTAACTACAGACAGACGCCAAACGAAATATGATCATGTGAGAATCGTAAAACGCGAGTGGAAATTTTTTATTCTGTGCACAAAAAAATGTTTTATCTCTCGCACGAATACAATGCTTCCCTACCTTATGTTGTGAGGGAGCATAATAATAACTAGTTACAGCTATATATGATGTTTTTTATATATCGTCGGCAGCATGATAAAGTAACGAATGTGCAATGTTACTCTTTTCTCCATCTGTTGAAATTGAATGACTTCCCATCCTCTATTCTTTCACTGCCAATAACACCAGTATACTACGATATACTTCTCCTTCAATCCGACCGATTCCTCAGATGCCATTCTAAAACTCCAAGAAGATATTAATAGAATAAGTGAATGGGCAAACTTCAACAAGCTCTATCTAAACGCCGAGAAGACGAAAGCCATCTTGATCGGATCCCCCTCACTCCTCAAATCCCTTCCGGTATTCCCCAATCTACTCCTGAACAACTCACCTATCTTTTTCCACACTACCGTTAATAATCTAGGTAACCACACATCTACCAAATTTCCCGTCGCACTATCTCTACCCTCAAATAGTTCAATCGTCTACGTTATCTCCTTCTATAAAAGCCCCATCAACTCCTAGTTTCCTCTCTAGTTTTTCCCCACTTCGACTATGGCTGTATGGTGTACGGTTTACTCTCGGGAGATTTCAATGCCAAACTTTTTGTTTTCGGAATATCAAAATATTGCTATATATTGAACATTGCCTAATGGTAACTAATAATATTTAAAGATAATATCTAACACCTGGGCGGGTACCTGAATCCCCCGACCCAACCTTTTGTAAGTGGTTACTTAGATAGTGGTCGGAATACCTGATAACCCCCTGAGGTAACCTTTTAGCACTCTTGAGAATATTCTTAGCACACCCACTAGCAATAGAAGTACTTGACGACACATGTCGGCCAAAAACACCAAAGGACCAGTCTTATGTTTAAAGAGGATCAAAAAGCTTTTAACTCTTAAGCATAGGAAGAAACGGTCGTGTACCTGCTAAAAGGGGTGTGTTCAATATATCGCTGGGGGTGTGGTCATCCCTTCTGCTACAAAAATTGAACCAATGAGAACAATTCTTGCCCCACCCAAAATATGTTAACAAAACCCACTGAGATGGATAGAAGAAAGGCTTTTTGACTTTTTGGGCTTACGCCACTGCCCGGCATAGAGAAGAGGTCTTATGCGACTGCCCGACCTAGACGAGAGGTCTGATGTAGCTGCCCGACCGTGAGGAGGTCCCTGATGTTTTCTTCCAGCTGGAGGACTGAAACATTACCCATGACTTCGCAGATGCAGCCATGCCATACACCACTTGAAATAACATATTATATAAGTAATTCCCAATAATTCCTGTAAAGATGTTTAAATATTTAATGGCAATGTAATTTTAAATTACATCCATCTGAATCATGCCATCACAACCAATTGTTTAGTTCATTAATTTTTGTAAATATAATGTATATAACATTCTTTCTTATATAATTTGTTAATAAATATAATTTGTACATAAAAATTATTTTAATTATGCCACCTATTGATATCATTATAAGCACAGGTAATGTTTGGTAATTAGAGAACAGATAAACACACAACAAGCCTTTGTGAGAAGTAATCCAATAAATTAATCATGGACCAATATGTCAAATGACATAATTTGTTTAGTTAATATTTTATAAATTAATTCTGGATAATTATCCTCAATAATCATCCAGTGGCATCCCGTTATCAAAATCTATTAAAAACCCATTTGATACGTAGCAGCATATTGCCCAGTATTAGACTGTGGCTGGTTAGACTATTAGACCCAGTTGAAGTGACTCTATCCATCCTATCTTTTTTTCCTCCTCTTTTTTTTCTGAATTGATTTAGCTATTCATCAACATTTATAATAAAAATACATAAAGTATACATATCTCATGTTCAATTTATTACTTGCGACGAGTAGAATTCCATAGATGTAATAGAATATAAAGTATTCTAGTATCATATACATACTATGGTACATAGTATGTGTTTGTATCTGTATTTATAGATATGCCTACAGCAGTCGTGTTTTTAATACATTTATAAAGAATAAATTTAATGATAATTCCTTACGGTGTGAATGTGTTCATTTATCAATATAATTATTGTCCCTGTGACAGAATATTATATGTCTAAATAAATAAAAAAATAAAAAATAAAATGATAATTCCATTGTTATGTGAGATCTAATGATGAAAGAAATGTTTTCAATGGCAATCTCATCGAGTAATACTATAATTTTCAGTTTTCAGCAGAAGAAAAATCCAGCGCGAAATTCGAGGCTGAGCTCCAACTTGAAAGTTTGGAAAGTGAAGAAGACAAGAAGGCAGAATTATTATCCGCTGTTCAGAAGATTGACATGAATGCGATTTTTCACTTGATACTAAAAGGAGCCCTGAAAGGATATCATCCTAGGATCTATGAAGACATGGAGAAGAAGAACTTGGATAAAATCAGTGTCAAATTAACTGTAGTTGAACTGCTGTTAAAGATGGGAATTGTAGCAGTACTTCCGCAACACTACAATGAAACTGATGAAAAATTGTTCAACGTCACCTTAATACAAGGAACAGATTTGGTTATGACATTGATGATTAATGTTTCTGTTGTGAAGACTTGGAATGATGAAACGCTAATCAAATCCGGCAAGATACCGCTGTTTATGATCTGCGCACTTCCAGATGTTTCTCCGGAAACTGTGAGGATTATTCTAGAAGCAGGAACCGTAGGTGTAGACTTCCAAGGAGAAAACAATATCACCGCACTTATGATAGCGTCAACAAGAGGTAACTTAGACGTCGTCAAATTCTTAGTCGAAAGGGGAGCGAACATCAATAATACAGCTTATTTGGCATTTGAATCCGTTGGAAAACTTGGAGAACGATTTAGGTTCTTGAAATTATTCACATTAAAAAATGTCACTGTGCCACCAACTGTGATACATACTTCGGCATTGTCAGTGGCCGTATATGAGGACCACCAAGATATGCTTGAATACCTGATTAAGTGTGGTGCCGATGTGAATGTCATGGGCCAAGGTTGGGCGGCGCTGAACAACGCTGCTTCTATTGGAAAGATAGAGTTGTTGAAAATTCTACTTCAGAATGGGATTGACGTGAATAGCAAAGACCTCATGGGCGCAACCGCACTCCATGCCGCCGCTAAGAACAATGACACAGAATCTGCTAAACTTCTTCTTCAATTTGGTGCAAATGTGAACGCTACTGACGAGTTTGGTTGGACACCACTCCATGTCGCAGCATTTTTCTCACGAAATGCGTCAAAAGCTATGCTGGAACTCCTATTAGCATCCGGAGCCGATATAAACGCCACCACAGATGGCGAATTTTCTCCGTTGAACTTGGCAGAAGCGGGGCACAATCTTTCTTTCCTTGATTACTTGGTCAGAAACCATGATGTCCTCAACTCCGCCATTGAACATAGTGGACTACTTGACATGGACTCTAATGAAGATCATGCTGAAGTCGTCAGCTTTTTACTAAACCAAGGAGCTGATCTTAATCACCAAGACAGTATATTGGGATGGACTGCACTTCATTGGGCAACTTCTTCCGGTGACTTGAGGGTGACAAGGATGCTAGTCGAACAGTTCGGGGCGGCAATGACAAGTTCTAAGATGGGAATGACTCCGTTTGGAACAGCAAAACATTTCGGAAGAAAATCTGTGGTTGATTATTTCAGTACCGCTAGGAATCTTGTTTGATATATTTTCTAGATAAAGAATGTATGACTAATATTTTATTTGTATTTTTATATTTATAATGAATCAATAAAATTATTTTTATTTGTCAAGATAATATATATCTTATAAACTTAGCCTTTTACAGGCTTAATCAAATCAATTTGCTTTGATTGATTAGTGTATTTAAGCAAAATGTTTGCTTGTCACAATTTTTATTGCTTGCATCTGTTTCATTTACATCGGTAAAATTTCTTTCTTGTCAAGATGATTTTCATCATAAATGTTTGTGAAAGCTATGAATATGTCTGTGTTCTTCCCGACTTCCCAGAATGGTAACCGTTCTTCTAATTTATACACACTAACTCATTAAATATGAGGTAGGTTCATTAACACGTCATTAAGTGTTTTTTAACAATTTAATTTATGAATAGTCGGAATTAAGGTTAAGGAAGAAATAATTTATTTATTATCAATAAAATTTTTGTCTTGTATGAATAGCTGCTTACTTTGATCTATTGAGTTGAACAAGTGTGACGATGCTGGTGATAATACCCTAGATACAAATGTGAAAATAAAGATAGCTATTATCCATTGTTTTTAAAATTATTTAAGAAACAAAATTGGATATCACTTTAAAATATATTTTTGCTGAACTGGAATTTAAAAAAAAATTGATCATGTTTCAGCAGTTATTGATTGAAGGTTATATGGTTCTTTCGAGACAAATCTGCAACAAATTGAATATTTAGGTCTTTATGGATAATTTATTTTAGTGACCTGACAAGGGCCATTGACGATTCCGGGGGATTTTGGATTGTAAAGAATGGATGCATTATGAAGTTGGTAATTTTGAGGTGTTCTCAATGGAAGCTTAATTTCGTGAAAGAACTAAAAGTGGTAATATAAGTAATATTTTTGTAGAAAATTGGAAGTTTGTCAAATAATTGTTGTATTATTCGAAATCTGTGAACAATTGTTGTATGAATAATTCTAGGTATGATGCTAGAAAGAGTCTACTCAAGATGGATTCCTAAATAACGGATCTGTTTGACAGGAATTAAAGAAATGTTATTAATGGTATTACTTATATTAGTAATATTATATTACTTATGTAATATATAAGTATATTACCTAGTATAAGTAATATGGTAATATATTATCTAATATAAGTAATATGGCATTACTTATATTAGGAATTTATTAGGAATTATTTTAATAGGAGAATTTGGGATGCAGCTAGTGTTGCCCAAATGCGAGACCGGGGCGAGTCTTGGTCTTGCAAACTCAGTCTTGGTCATGGTCTTGGTCTTGCGCAAGAGTCTCGCACGAGTCTTGCAGATACTTATTAGTTTATTACTATGGAGATATCACTATAATTTTTTAGATAGGAGAAACCTAACTAAGCCAGAATGAAAAATTAGAGGAGTTAAATGCCAAAGTACATTGGTTATTTATTAACATTATTAAATATAGCAACCAATTATTAACATATAGCAACTAAGATTATCAATTATTAGTAACTGTTTCGCCTTAATTTTTATTCAAAAAATAGATTTTTTTTACCAGTTCTGGTCTTGGTCTTGTAACAGTTAGGCGGCCTTGGTATTGGCAACCAAGACTTATTTTGGGCAACACTAGATGCTGCTGTTGGGTCATTATTTATAAATCACGCACAAGAGTCACCAGCGTATCTAATGAGGACAGTGCTATCTCAGGATGGGTTGGGATATCAGCTGTATAAACAGTTTAGAGAATGCTGCCTAGGATACCACCTGGAGGAACACTGACCGAATGAGAAAAGTAAGTTGTATAGAAAAATATATGATAAACTTTGAATGTTCTATCAGTGAAGTAGGCGAGAAATAAAATAATTATGTAGGAAAGAGGAATTTATAGGATTCGTAGAGCAAACCAGGGTATGAAATATGATACCCGGGATCGCTTCCATATCTCATTAAAAGCCCCATCTATGTTACGAAAAATTCCATTGACATTTCGAATATAGATTTGGTTGCTGAATAGTGGAGTGAAATGTTCAAAATATTGTCAGACGGATTTGGTACAGATTTCTCACGTAATTTGAGATTTTTCAATACCTTTGAAAGGGAGAATTAGGCTCTATTTGCGCTAGTTATTTTCCCTTCTATGCAGATCCTGTTATTTGGGTGGCTAATTATCATATATTTTGTTTTATCTTAATTTATTATATGCCGATTTGCACTGCCTCTTTTATTAACTTGAATTAAATTTATTTTCTTGAAAATTTATTAAAGAACAGATTTAACTGCGATTTCTTTGATAAACTAAAGCAACGGAAACCAGCTTGTGGAAAATAAGCGTAAAAAATCAATACACTCTAATATTGTCAATCAAAAACTTTTTTCCATAGCTCAATTTTTTCAGACAATAATTTCTGTTAAAAGTAGTGAGGAAAGTGAAACTTGTGTGTTGCGGGCACTATATTTTTTACATTTAAATACTTTTCTTTTATCTCTCTATTTCATGCCTTTCTGACAGCAAAATTTGAACTCATAATCTTAAGTACGAAATGAAATAGCTGTGAATTCGTTAATAGTTGCCCGAAATGAATGAGTTTTAAATAGTTTTGTAGGGAATTTCATTAAAAAAACAGTCTAAAAAGTTTTTCAGACACATCAAAAATTTGACCCGATCCTTAGTCTAGGATTAATTAAAACATGTGTAGAAAATAGGATACTTAACTTGGCCTCATCGTCGCTAATACTGCTTCGATTACGATGATTTTTGTTTTGTTTTGTAGGTAATACCATAAAACATATACTTAGCGAGTTAGGACCCAAAACATTTCTCTTTTCTTTATAACTTTTTTTCTATAATTTTATCGGTAATTTAGTAAATGCAAAAAAAATGAAAAGACATTAAAAAGAAAATTATAGGAGAGTTTCATGAAAATCATCAGAGCCGTTTTTGCGCTATAGTCTACAGAGAAATATGTTTTTCACTTATTGCGCAGCAACTGTTGCGGAGGCAGCACCCAACTTGCCTCCCAGGGATCACTAATCAAAAACCTACAAAATTAAAAAAAAGAAACAAATCGGTTTTCTAGTTTCCGAAATAATCTTGGCAGAGACAGGCAGACCAATGGCTGAAGATGTGTTTTTTTGACTCAGGGGTTTCTGAAACGTATAGATCCGTAGAAAACCGCACATTGGAAATTTGACCCGATCGTAATACTTTCGTTATAGGTAGGAAAGTAATAAAAATAAATAAATTATATTTATTTTTATTTTTGTTTATGTTTCGGCCCAAGGTTCAGGCCTTCATCTGAGCTAAGAAAAGTCAAGATAACAATGCATATTAGAAACTAGTAAACGGTAGAAAAATAATAATATATAGAACAAAGTTAGGATGTATAACATAACGGTAAAAATTATTAAATTTATTTAAAAAAAAATCTGGTGCACGCAACACCTAACTCTCTTACCTCTCCACTTTGAACAGAAATTATGTTCTGGCAATGTTCTGCTATTATACAAATTTTGAAGTGTACTTTAAACTAAGCTCAAGCTTATAGCTTACAGATAACAAATCATTAAGACCATTAAAATTACAAAAAACTCTATTTATTATATCGACGGTATGAAATAAAAATCTAGTTAATTCATTTGTTTTTATAAACAATATAACTTCAGTCTCTGAGCTATGAGTGACTTTCGGTTGACAGAATGACTAACTCCAATGTTAACATTTTTGAGCAATGTCATTTTAGTGATATTTCTAGCTGGAAATGTTATATCTATAGACCGGATTTCCATGTTATTCCACATTTTGTTCGCTTGCGTGTAAAAACTCCGTACCCGAATATCAACCTATTTTAGGATCTGTAGATAACATATTAAAATTTATATTGCACGAAATTACACTTTTTGCCGGTTTTTGCTTAAATTACACGATTTTGATTTTTGTTACATTAAATTACACATTTTGTGCTAGATTAAATGATTTGTAAATATAAATATATATATTTGTGTGTAAATATTAACTTTTTTATTTTACAATGTTGTTCGTATTAAAATTATAATTTAAGAAAACAAAATAAGAGGAAGATAAGTGATTCTGTGAAAGGAAAAAATCGAATTTACAGTTACAAAAGGTCGAAATAAACACAAGTATACACAGACTATTCGTGGAATAGAACTTGCCTGAAGTAATTCAATAAAAAAACTGCTTTTCATGTTTTGACTTGATTTTCTTTCTAAGTCCTTCACTTTCGGCTTTGAAGTGAATCGTAAACTATTATGAATTCGGCATCGATAAAAAGTTGGTACTACTTCGGAAGTAGTACTCTTTCAGCCATCTTGGTTAATGCAAGGTTATCAACAATGTTTCAGATAAGGCTTAAACAAATACCACCAGGAAGTGCTACTATTGCAGAGGGGTCGTCTTGTCGGCTCTCGTCTCCTCCACCTCACCTCCATTTTATGTAAATGTAGAAATTATATCGTTAAGATTACATATTATCCGCCTTTTTTTAAAGTTAGCATTCTTTTCCCATCATTTTCACTTCATAGGAAATAAATGTTGATTGAATATCCATTCGATTTTACATGTTATCAACATTTTATGATATTACAACTTCATTTTTTTTTCATTATCATAATCATATCTAATATTTTTTATGCTTATAGTTTTTTATATATTTTATCTATCAAACAGATTTTTAGTTTAATGGAGTTGATACTTCTGTAATAATCTGTTTCATTGAAAGAACTTGATTAACTTAAATTTTGTTTTAATTGAGACACTTTATCTGTAATTGAATTATTTCTAATACCATTATTCTTAAACTCTTTTGTTGACTTCCAGAAAAAATTGCAATTTATATAGATTTCAAGTCTTCGAGAAAAAAGTTAAAACATTTTAAATTTTTGAATACTTGATGGTTGACCATTGTATATTTCAGATAAAGCAGACGGTGAACCTTTAAGTCCGTTATTTCATATTATTTTAGCTTTTTCTTTCAATATTTTCTCATGCAAATTCCACATTTTTCTATATCCTTTTTTATCTTGTTTATTCTAGTCCTGAAAAGTTGGGTCGAAACGTCGCCTTGAACTAAAATAGTCTTTTTCACTATTTTAGTGTTTTAATGACTGCCCCTCCCCCTCCCCCGGACCATCAGACAATCAGACAAAACAATAAAAAAGTTGATATAGATAATGTAAGTAGATAGCAATGGAAATGGCTGAATAACTGATCAGCTTATTTAAATTGGTTTGAAGATTAATAACTCTTAATCCTGCTGACAAGTTTAGATTTATAGGAATGTCAGCAGTATTTTGTCCATTGATTATTATTCAATCGCTAGAGCTCTACTACATGGTCCTGAAATATTTTTCTTAGAATCTGGTAATGCCAGTATGTACCTCATTAGACTGAAAATCTGTTTGATTGATAGCACAGGCAGATCTACGGAGAGGGGGGGAGGGACTTTCGGGCTGAAGCTCCCCTTCCAAAATGGTAAATATAACCATGTTTGTAGTAAAAAAATTTCTCTTAAAGTATTATTGTTCCTATAATTACATTTAATAGGACTTCATGAATGTATTAAAGAACATTCAGTTAAATATATGAAAAAAAAAATTTTCATGGCTGAAACCCCTCCTCAACATTAAATCCTGGATTGATAGAAGAAGAGTTAAGTAATATATAATTGAAAAAGATAACCCTCCGCCAGCATTAAAATCTTTATAGAAAATTGTCAATTGTTTAATAATTCTTCTTTAATTGTATTAATATTGCACATAGGTAATGTGTTAAGATTTCATTTATCATTTTTTTGTATCACGCCGTTTTATAAATTATTTTAAATGTTTGTATCATAGCCTTGTTGAATATAGTCTTTACTTTCCGTTCGAATGTCCAAATGGATTTTAATTGAATTCCTAGCTTCTTAAATATTGTTATTCCTAGTTATTGTGGATACTAATCCGAAAAAATGCAGGGATTTGTGATAATCATTGCTGGAAAAAAAAATTAAAATTTTTTTAACTTTCTTCTTAGAAATAATACAGTTACAGATAATGTGTCACAACTAAAACAAAACTTAAGTTAATCAATTTCTTTAATTTAGGATAACCAACCTTAATCTCCAAAAATAACAGAAGGTATAATATATTGTTGGAAAGCGGAGATTTTAGAAAAATGATATAAAATAAAGAAAGTTGATGAACGTAACGCAGAGTGACGAAAAAAATATAAATAATAATTCCAGAAAACTAACATTAACCTTATTTAGCGTAAATCACATGTTTCTGAAGAAATTAAATTAATTTTTCTTACTAAATGTAAACTTTTACATTTTTTTTTAATTTTGAAAAAAAGTATTTAAAATCCACCCTATGCCAATGCCACTGTTAAAAATACTATTTCATTGTACTTATCTGAAAGAAGAAGTGAAATATAAAAATATTGCATGAATATGTTGATAATCTTTAATATATGTACTCTGGATATGATGTTATATTTAAATTACTAGATGTCTATTGGACGTTTATTAAAAAAAATTAAGAAGTAATCTTTTAGAAAATTAAATTAGTAAATAATTTGGTGGTTTTTCTCTTTATGAAATCCCAACATTATTCACTTATAATTAGTGTGACAAATTTTGATCTATCCATATAGAATATGGAAATATCGGAAATGAAAATTTCGTAATTTCATTTTAGTAAACTTTACAGTGGAAAATAACAGTTTAGTAACTAATAGTTCTACAATCCATAATCATTTATAGGTGAAATATTCAGATATACTTTCAAATCTTTCTAGGCATATATGAGCCTTTCGTTTGACAGAATGACTAACTCCAATTTCAACATTCATTATTACTAATGTTAGTGATGTTTCTAATGTAATAATTTATACCTTTATTCACAGTTCTATATTTCAACACAGCAATCAACTAATTGAACATTTGAATCAACTTGCTTACTGTCTGTATAGATTTAACTTTTCCAACTAGAAATATTATTAAAATGACATTACTCAAAAATATTGAAATTGGAGTTAGTCATTATGTCAACTGAAAGGCGAAAGGCTCACAGACTAAAGTTATGTGGTTTATAAAAGGAGATGGATTAACAAGATTTTTATTGACTACCGTCGATATAATAAATAGACTTTTAGTAATTTTAATGGTCTTAATGATTTTTTAGCTGTAAGCTTTAAGCTTTAGCTACGTTCAAAACACACACATCAAAAATTTTATAATTGCCAGAAAATAATGTCTGTTCAAAGTAGAGCGGTAAGTAAAAGTTGTGTATTGTGCGCACCAGAATTTTTTTTTGGGCAATGCTACCATTGAAAATGTAGAAGATTTGAACATAAAATCCAACCTGAAATTCTTATATACTTTTTGTTGATTAATGAAGAAGTAGTTATCAATAAATATATCTTGTTCATCTTCATATTCAGGCCTACCGGTAATTTATTTATTGAAATTACATTTGCAACTGGAAGACTTACTTGTTATTAATGTTTATTACTGTATCCTAGGTTATTATGAATATTCAAATATGTACAAGTAATAAAACGATTTTTAGTTTTCAGTAGGAGATGGGGAAACACAAAATATCAATGACCCAAATCATTCTGAGAAATCAGACAGCAGTGAAGCAAGAAGGGAAGAATTGTTTTCAGCACTCCAGAAAGGAGAAATTTCCACTGTTAAGAGGTTGATAGAAGAAGGTGATTTGGAAGAGTACTATCATGAGGTATATGGCGAGAAAGAAACTACCATTCTTAAGAAAATTAAAAAAAAAGTTGAAGTAGTTTCCTGCCTATTGGAATTAAAATTGATTTCCATTCCAAATAACAGTTACGTTACTATAAGAGGTTCTAACAAAAACCTTTTCAATGTCACTTTGATCCCAGGAACTGATCTCTCGGTAAGGCAGCTTGTCAATTTGTCTGCAGTGATGGGCGAATCCCTTGTCAAGGAAAGGACCGCTCTCTTACATCACATTTGCTCCTTACCGGACATTGAACCCGAGGTAGTCAAGACCTTCCTAGACTATGGCACTGTGGATATCGATGCCTGGGACCATTCTCATCATACTCCGTTAATATATGCTGTTCTTAGCGGTAACCTAGAGTTAGTGAAGTTTCTCATCCAGAATGGAGCTAAAATAAATAAATCCATTCCATACCCATCTGGCATGAATAATGGAAGAATAGACCATCAGGTCGATTTTATGAGTGTATTTTCAAGAAATCCGGTTTTCATTTATTCGGTTCGATTCACCTTATCAGCAGTATTAGCAGCTGCTTACGAAAACCAACCTGAGGTACTGCAGTATTTGTTCGAGAACGGTGGAGGTGTGAGTGAAAATGATCATCCTTGGTTTGTTCTTTTCAAGTCTGCGTACAAAGGCCACCATGAAGTGGTTGAAATCTTAATTAAAAATGGGATTGATGTCAACAGTAGTGGTCCATGGGGATCAACAACATTACACAGATTAGCGGAGACTGGAAATATAAAAATGGCCAAGCTTCTCTTGAGGTACGGTGCAGGCTGCAATTGGACAAACAACTTTCGTTGGACTCCACTGCACGTTGCAGCCCTTTATGGAATTAACAGTACAAAACTATTTGTCGAGCTCTTACTTGATTCTGTTTGTGATATCAATGCACTTACTGATGGAGGATTTTCACCTCTCAACTTAGCAGTGGCAGGTATCAATCTCAGTTTTTTGGATTATCTCCGTAAAAATCGCAACTGGTTTAAATTCGACCGGCACAGTCAGAAATTGGCGGAATCAGAACATCGTGAAGGTCACACTGAAATTTTAAAACTATTGTTGAATCGTGGAGCTGATCTGAATCACCAAGACAATATTTTAGGATGGACATCATTGCATTGGGCCGCCGCTAATGGAGACCTGAGAGGAGCGAAACTGCTAGTCGAGGAGTACGGAGCAGCAAAAAATCTTAAATCGAAGATGGAGATGACTCCTAGCAGCACGGCTGAGTATTTTGGAAGAGACGCTGTCTTGGAATACCTCAATACACGTAGAGAGTTAGTTTGATGATTTGTGAATTATTTAACAGCATATCCAACTAATATCTTGTAATAAAAACCTTTACAATTTAAGGCTTTATTCATTTTAATTTTGCATAAGACACAATAAGAAGAGTCTGTAACAATAGATAACATTTAAATAATTACATAGATTATGTATGGATTGTATTGGATCATATAACACATAATATTACATTCTTCCTCCCTTCAGGAATCTATCTTCATAATATAATACGACAATTTTTGCTGTAACGATTCCTTTTCCGGATCTCAGGAGCGAGTTATTTTGCTGAGTGAGGTATCAAACGAAAGAGTAGTAAATGGAGCAGTGATGAATTATAGTAACATCCACCCGAAATCTCAGGAAAAAAAGTTATGAATGAAAAGAAAATTTATTTGCGAATTACTTAAAAAGCATTAATTTTTTTCTCGATTAGACCCATTATTATTTGAAAATTTACTGACTTCCCTACAAAACGCAAAAACTCCAAAAAAAAACAAAAAAAAAAACATGAAAATCGGATCATTATTTACGAAGATACAGCCTATTGTAATTTATGTATTATTGCTTCTAATATTGGTTGGTTGGTTGTGTAGTAAAGGCGTAGAACCTGTTGGTCATAAACACCGGGCTTCTAATATTGTTTTCAATGAAGTGTTATAAAATATTTATTATCATTTTTACGAGTACGATTTTCGAAAACTACGTTCATAATTTCTTATATTTATGTATTAAAGGATCGCTCTGACAGTTTTGAATATTAAGTAATTGCATTTTAAAGCCCTAAAATGTACAGTTTTCCAGTTACCGTTTGGGTCCAATCTTATACCTGCGATAGGAAATCTTGATGCTAATGTTGTCGTAGATTCCGATTCATAAAAAATTACTATTTCCAATTCTCTGTAGTAACCAATCAAGTGCACCTCCTGTTGAAAAGAATAAAAGAGATCAGCAAAGCATGGCTAATACATGATCACTTTTGACAAAGGGAGCATCTCCTAAGTTTCTTTCCTGCATGGTAAATATCACGGCAATGCACACCTAGACTGAGCATTGTTTCTATAAAGAACATCGGAATGAAGTGGAGTTGGAAAATAATATTGCTGAAATTTTGAAAAATAACGCGAAGATGGTAAATAATTGTTATTTGTTAGCTCCCTCTTAGTTTATGTCAAACTTCGAATGAAGCCTAACTATTTAATTGTGATTTAATAATAGAAAAAAGAAATAAAGTGGACTGTATCTTCAAACATTTATTTTGGGACATTTACGAAATCTAATATTGAAAACATAAAAACAAAATGAATCAATTTTACACTTGTTAGATATGTAAAAAAATAACAAACTTCTAGCATAAAATAAAGATCAGCTGAAAAAACAATTGTGACAATATTAATGCAACATTTTCATGCTTGATCTTAAATAAAAACTATTTCTATGGCCCAAATTATAATAAAAATAAAATAAATAAAGCAAACAACTTCTCTAAAGTCCCAATATGAAATTTATATATATATATATATATATATATATATATATATATATATATATATATATATAACAAATAATTAGATTGTACAATGTTATGTGGACGAAGCAGGACGTTCGTAAACCTCTGTCTCTATGGAGAAACCAATTGTAACTCTTCAATGAGCGTGCTCAATACGAACTGCAAATGGGCAGCGGCGAGCACTACGAGAGAAGTACGTCTCTTCAGAGTAGAACTGCAGTGGGCAGTGAAGTTGGCAGTACTCAGCTCAGTGGCGGGCAGAGACAGGCCGTCTCTTGTTAATTCTACCGCCTTATGACTTGAACCTAGCCCTTGTTTAAAGCTAGTGCTACTACAATCCATAACAAAGTAGTCCAAGTATAAACTATTGATTTATTTAATATAAACAATATAAGCTATGGGCCTATAACACTTAATATACACCTATCTTATACATAAATATACATATTATTAATTGATTTCACTTTGCTAAAATAAAACAAATCAACAATTAATCAAACTAGTTAAGTGTAAAATAAATTGAATTAACGCTGTGGCGTTTTTAACTGTAAAAATAAAATAAATTAACGCTGTGGCGTTAACAGTTATTTGTTTAAAAAAAAAAACACAACTATTTTACAATTTCTTTATAACAGGAAAATTATGCAATTTATAGTGGATTAAATCGAAGATTAATTAATAGGTTATAAGATTTCTAGCAAAATAAAAAAAAAATATCGGAATGGGACCATTATAAGCAAAGATATACAGTGTTTCGTAATTGCATGGCACTATTTTAGGTATGAGTTCACTAACACAAAATAAACAAAAACGTTCATATTACCATATAACTCAAACTCATTTATTAAACAGATATCAAAGGTTAAAGATTTATTATTTATTATTATTGTTAACGCCGCATATGGTTATATCTTTATTTTTGTTCATTATTCTTTTTTCTCACCATCCCTTTTTAAATGTTGATTTACCTTTTTCTTTGTAAAATTTTGAGAGATAATTGTCTCGGGAATGAATATTATTGGTATATTGAGCATTTTACGATGTATTATCGCGTTGTATATGCACACCAGCCCCGTAGTAATACCCAGTCTTATGGATTAAGACATCAAAATAATGCCATAATATTACCGAAAAGTCAGTCTGGAGCTAGCCTATCCATGTAGTAGACGTCTACCCCCGCCAGTCCAGACTCACCCCACCTCACCTGGCAACAGCATAGCGCCATTTTCAAAGAACAGCTGTTCGGCGCATCCGCAGTCGTCGATCGAGATCGATAGGCTATCGACTCGATATTTCCTCACCAACGACTGTGTAACATTGAAAATGTAACCTCATTGGAAGCAGAACCTCAAACTAGGCTGGTTTTTTTTATTCTCCACCGTCACGAAAGACAATAAATTACTTTAGTTTTTTTCCTATGCTAAATTAGTTTTATTCTTATGGACAGTTATTTTTTCTCTATAATTTTGGAATTTGATATTTTGTTATTAATGGTTAATTTGGTTTTATTTTTCACTGAATATTGTATTTTATGTTTCATTTTATTTCAGTGCATTTTAATAACTTTTTTTTTCATTTCTTTGTTTTGAATTTTGTATATATCTTTTTTCCACTATAATAAATCGTAAACGTTCAAAAGGGGATTTTTATTTTCCTTTTTTTTTTTTTTTATTGAAATATTTCTATTTTTTAATATTTTCTTGTGCATGCACTTTTTTCTTCTTTTGCAGGTCTCATTTTCACCATTTTTTCCTCCACTTTCCAACCATTTAATATTGCTCGTATTTTTCCCACCATTGAGGAAACTCACAGGGGAAAGGTTTGTATTTTAATTTTGAAATACCCCTGGTCCCAACAATTATCATTACAACATTTAGAGTAATTGTTCAAAGGGGCCTCCGTTTTACTGAATGCAACATTCAGCACGACGAATCCATGCTTCTCTGGCTCTTCACATAGCATCAGGATGGTGCTTGATAGTTACTGCGGCTTCCACGATCCGACAATGTTACACTGAAATACATAGTACTAGACAAACAGATAAGCAACTACTGTCATTGCTTAGAGTTCATTTGTATATCAGGTGATTAAAACCTGTTATTTAGTATTAAACACGTTAAACTTTGTACAGCCAGTCTTAATGTAGTAAATAAATAATAGATCTTTAACATTTAATATCTATTTAATAAATCAGTTTGAGATATATGTTAATATGAACTTTTTTGGTTATTTTGTGAACATATACTTAAAATAGCGCCGTGGAATAACGAATCATCCTGTATACTACAATAAACTGTACAAAACTCAAAATTCAACCCAAATGACGAAAATGTATTCCTCCACATAATAATAAATTTCACTAACATATTTCAGTACTATTTTATCAATTGTTCATTGACCAATATTTTATGCGGATTATTCGCACGGGCCAGCTAGTTGAGAATATAATCGTTTAGCCGGTCGGGCGTACGACGCTCCCTTGTTGAACGACCCATTTGGTTGTGTTATATCCAATCTTATCTTCCCGTTCTTGCATCTGCAGTTCGCTTGGGTGGTGAACTTCTTGAGGAGAAACTTGAAGGATAAACACGGAGAAAAGTAATCACATGGCATCAGGTGAATGGAAGTGCTGTCGCCCAGCGGCGAGTGATTGGAAGAATCACCGCTTGGTGCCATGTGATTTAAAGAGACTGGCATCACTCGACCATCATCAGTTCGACCCCCCGCGTATAGATGCACCTCCTTCATCAAGGTACCATATTTGCTTTACCTAACCTGCTTCTTAATCAACAATTTAGATGAAGGTATTAGCCAGGAGGGTAGAGTTATCTTGGTTGTGTTTAAACATTCCTCCATGGTGCGTCTCATTGGTCGCTGTACACAAAATTGATTGTATGGATGCAAAGAATCTGGAAGTACGGACTCCCAGTGAGTTGATTATGTTGTTAAAGAGTCAGTGAAATAGTCCGCCATTCTCGCTTTCTATCTGGCCGTTCTGTGATGGATTATATGGCCAAGACACCCCGTGAATACAGGAAATATTAGAGTTCTCGAGAAATAAATGAAGTCCCTCTGTCAGTACGAATGTATGAGGACTTTCCAAAAATTGAGAATAAATCAACGAGGTAGTCTATAACTGTTGAAGAATTCATGTCATGGCAAGGATAATCAAACCGTGCAAACTCATCATGGTCAGGAAGTAGTTATTTCTAGTTTTTGAGGGAAGAGGGCCTTTAAAATCCATACTAATTCTTTCCAAATGATCAATAGTCATGATGAGCTTAGAGTTGGCCATCTTATAAAATGTTGGATTTATCTAATTGCACGTAGGACAAGATGAGGTCATGATATGCCTTCTTAACTAGTTAATCATTCGAGTCACTCCAGGATGACACAAATCACAATACAGATAATACAGTTTGTTAGGTTGAATAGAGCCACACATTCTTGAGAAGGGGTCTGCAACAAGATTATGTTTTCCCGGTCGGTATATTATACCATAATTGTAACTCAAGGCGCCGTCTCTGTATCTTCTCGTTTTTAATTTTATTCTGATGTTTTGAATCGAACATAAATGACACAGAGAGCTGGTAAGTGATTATTGTGAAGCGTCATCCCTAATAGAAAGTGTCTCCATTTTTTCAACGAGCAAACGATAGCATAGGCCTCTTTCTCAACAGCTGAATATCGCCTTTCGCTATCGTTGAGTTGATGATGCATGATTTTATGTTTTCTTTAAAACATTCCTCTATATAACAACCTGTTTGTGTTTACTGGATTATTCGTTTGTATGAATGTCAACACTTATTAATCCTTTTCCAAGCAATAATGTTTGTTTACCTCTGTAGCATTTCGCTGCTTAGAAATTATCCAGTCAACAACGTATGATCTTATTTTACGAGTTTAAACTCAGCCAAAATGGTGCCCTGACGGCCAGAAACACCAATCAAGTCTCGAGCGAGAGCAGCATTAATGAGTGCACTGTTCAATGGTAGTTCGAAAAATTTGTGGAGGGAGACTTCAGCCCTCAAGACAAAGAAGGTTGTGAAAGGAATTCCTCTCTTGATGACGATGTTCTGCGGGCTTTAGTAAAAGAAAACTTCAGAACTATTCGAGAACTTGCAGAGAAACTTAACCTTAGGAAATCTACTGTTGATGACCACCTCATGGCGATTTAAAACAGAAAAAAGTTTGAAAGTTGGGTTCCATGAACTTTAAGGGACCGCAAAAAAAACCATCGTTATGAAGTTTGTGCTACACTTCTTTGCCGAAACCAAAAAGATCCTTTTCTGTCCATACATCAAAACATTTTCCAAAGTCCCTAATTCATCAAAAAAAGGTGATGGTTATTGTTTGGTGGACTTAATTTAGTTTGATAAACTGCAGCTTTTTAAATTCTGGAGAAACCGTCAATGCCGAATCGTATTGTAACCAAATTAATGCAATGCATCAGAAATTGACAATAATAAAGACATATTCAGTCAATCTGAAGGGGTCCATTTTATTGCATGACAACGACCGGTCAAATGTCTCACGTGTGACGTCACAAAAATTGTTGGAGTTTGGATATGAAACTCTGCCACATCCGCTCTACTTTCCGGTCCTCTGGTGTATCGATCATCATTCTTTTAGACACTTGAACCACTACTTACGTCACAAAAAATTAATTGGAGATTAAGTGGAGATTATTTTGATTAAATAAAATAGTTAGAAATCCTTATTTTTATTTTTTTAACCAAAATCATGCATTATTTCCTGACAACCAAATGTATTAATATTTCATGAGCATCTATCATCATTTTGTATTTTTATTGGGAATTTTGATATTGTTATTCGAAATTTTTGTATGTACTGATAATCGGCCGATGCTGATATTTCAATGGCCAATGTGTCGATATTTTTTTTATACCAAGATTATTATAGATATACATTGTCACAGACTAGTTTATTATTTTTTTTTTTTTGCATATACTTATTTATTGAAAAACTAGATTATTGTGAGTATTCAAATATGTTCATGTAATAACATGATTTTTAGTTTTCAGTAAGAATTAGAAAAATAAAAGACCCAGATCATTCTGGCAAATCTGACAGCAGTTTTTAGCGTTTCGGCACTGGTAGCATTGGTTTCGGTATTTCAGAAAGGAGAAATTTTCACCGTTAAGAAGATGATAGAAAGTGGTTATTTGGACGAGAACTGCCATCGGATGTATGAAGAGAAAAAATAACCATTCATAAGAAAATTAAATAATAATTAAATAATGTTAATGTTGTTTCCACTCTACCGTAATTACAATTGGTATCCATACCTCCTAAGGTTTACCTTATCAGATATCTTTCTAACCACCATCTTTTCAATGTCTCCTTGATCCCAGGAACCAATCTCTCTGTATCTCGGCTGCTTGTCAACCTGACGGCTGCCATGGACGTATCAATCGCCAAAAAGGGATACGCTCCCTTACATCAAATCTGCTCCTTGCTGGACTTTAAACCCGAGGTAGTCAAGATCTTTCTAGACTATGATACAGTCGAAATCAACACATGGAGTAAATCACGTTATATAACTGCCTTGATCAATGCTGTTCTTAATGGATACCTAAAGCTAGTGAAGTTTCTCGTCGAAAATGGAGCTGACATCAATAATTCCATTCCGACATCATTGGATAATAATGAAAAAATAGACCATCGGTACGATTTTATGAATATGTGGAATTAATATCACTGTCTCAGCAGCATTAGCAGCTGCTCTCGAAAACCAACTCAAAGTACTACGGTATTTACAACGGTAGAGATATGAACAATACCGGAGGTTTATGGCAAGTACTTTTCAGCACAAAATACAAAGAGCATGTAGAAGTGGTTAAAATCTTACTTAAAAATGGATTCGATGTAAATAGTAAAGGGCCTTTTGGGTCAACAACTATAGAGTAGCTGATAGTATAGAGTAACAAAATAGAGTAGCCGAAATTGGAAATACATAAATGACCAAGTTTTTGTTGATATACGGCGCCGACTCGAACTTGACAAACTGCAATAATTGGACTCCGTTGCACGTTGCAGTCTGTTCGGAATTAACAGTAGTAAGCCATTTGTCGCTGCTTGACTCTGGTTTATGATGTCAACGCACTAACGAACGGAGTATGCACGTTTTTTTTTATCTCCAGAAGAATCCTAATTAGTTCAAATTCAACAAGTCAGAAATTGGTGAAATCAGAATATCATGAAGGTCACACTGAAATTTGAAAACTTTTTCTGAATCGCTGAGCTGGTCTGGATCACCAAGGCAATATTTTTGGATGAACAGCTTTGCATTTAGCTGCGTTTAATGGAGACCTGAAAGATGTAAAACTGCTCGTCAAGGAGTACGGAGCAGCTACAGCTCTTAAATCGAAGATGGGGTTGATTGCTAGAAGCGCGGCTGAGTAGTTTAAGAGACGCTGTCTCGGAATACCTCAACACACTTAAAGGGTTGGTTTGATGATTTGTGAGGCAATTAACAGCTCATCCACATATAATATTTGAATAAAAATACCACATCATTTGCATTACTATTGCAACCAATTTATAACTTTCCTAAATATGTATTTACTTTCTTAGGCTTATTAATTAACGTTATTAAGTTATGTAAGGTTGTTGAACTATGTACAATTATTAAATTGTGTAATTACTATGACAATATTAAACGATATTCGCCATAAATAAATTTATTTTATTTTATTTTACTTAGGTAATAATTACTATGATAAAATTTACATATAAAATTACCATTTAATCAAAAGAATTAAATCGCTAAGTTAAACTATCTTTGTTTGAAAATAACAACTTGTCTGCTCTCCTCACATTTTTTTATGAAACGGTCTTTACGCAACATTTTTGTCTTGTCAAGATGGTTTTCATCGTGTGATGTAAGTATTAACTTGGTATGTGCCAATTTGCTTTCTACAATCCCATATTGCTGCCTGTGGTGCTATTATGCTCACCATAAAACAGGTTGACAGTCCGAAAAATAATATACATGATGTAGGTTTATTAAAATGTCAGTACCTTTTATTAGGGATGGCCATCCCTTCCCCCCAAGGTAGATGGTGCATGAACCAACCCCTCAAAATATGATAGAAATAGAAAAATCATAGATCATATACAATTACACTTGCTGCGGTATGTTCCATGTTTTCCCCTTTGTTCCTTAATCCGAAAATTCATAACTCATTCGAAATTTGTCCGCCTTAAAAGTTCAAAAACCCGTAAAAATATGCTCCTCCCCTCAATAATTTTGATGTCGCAACTTACCCCATGAAACCCTCTTTGGGCATTCCTGCCTTTCATCATCTTCTTAGGCGGCATTACTTCCAACGTGGAGACAAGGCCTCTTGCAACTTTAGCCCCCAATCGTCCCTATTCCACGCTGCCGCCTTCCACATTAGGACCCCAAGCATAGATTTGACATCCACAGATACACCAACAACATTGGTCTTCCTCTTCTTCATTTGCCAAAGATTTGTTCTAAGAGAATTTTTTTTGGAACCTGATCTCCAGACATTCTTATAACGTGTCCTGTCCATCACAGTAAGTAAGTATATTAGGCTGCTAGATGTCATTTGGCAGAAATGGGGATCTTTAAGGGCAGAAAGAAAAAATGTTGAAAAAATGTGTCATGAATGATGTTCTTGTACGTCATGATAAATAGTTTGATGTGAATTAATGGAAAGGGTAAATCATTTGCATATTAATAACATAATTTTTTTACTTTCTCTTACCTATATATATAACATTTAGTAATAGCCCTGGAGCCAGATCCAAAAAATCGAGCTGATCGCAGGCGAAGGTTTGAATGTAAATTGAAAATGTATGTTATTCTAAGTAAAAAGAACATTGTCTGCCGTTCCAGGGCCTATGCCTTCAAAATGACAGCTGATTTTAAGAATATTAGGTTAGTAACTTGAGGATCAATTCGGGTAATCCATTCCAAAAAATGTGAGAAAAGTTTTTATATGTTTCAACTTGTATATGTGGGTTCAGACATGTAAAAAACATAATTGCTAACACGAGCCACCAAGGTAAACTTTTTTACAGTAAAAAAAATACGCATTTTTCTATATTTTTTTGTTTTTTCACATGTAACTCCTAAACGATGCATCGAAGCGAAAAATGCACTCGTTTAAGAAATTACAGAACGTTAAATTGTGCGTTGAACGAGTACATAAACTTAGTAACTTGGTTACGTGATAAGGTATAAAACTACGGTCAACCAACGCCGATTTTAGCCAAATTTGTCAAAAACTGGGACAAATTACTATAAATGGCCTGTAACGTTATAACGAGTTCCCTAAGAGGAAAAACCCAACGCATCAAAGTTGTAGAGCATAAAATATTTCGTTGACTGAGTACTGACGTTTTTATTATAGGCCACTAATATGTCTTCTGTATCTCTTTATGAAATTCGGTATCTTTCGACAGATCGTTTATCAAAATCTTTCGCTGCTGAGAAGTGGAAAAGAGCCTTATACTGCATATAATAGACCCTTAACAAAAATTATTTAGTAGAATAGACACCCATACTGTTGAAATATTGAAAATCACGTACACCTTCATTACCAATTTCTATAACTATAGGGAGTTTACGAATTTTGTATGGAGTAAGTGACCTACAGAAAAATAGTTGGTACTCAGTGAAGCAAAATTTGATACTATACAACTATGCTATATGATACTATATCATACGGAGTTTTTCCTTTTAAAGAACTCGTTTCCAAGTTACAGGGCCAATAAAAGGAATTTGTCTCAGTTTATGACAAATTTGGTAAAAATCAGCGATTGCTGACCATGTTTTTATGCATTACCTCGTAGCCAAATTACTAAGTTTATATATACTATTTCGACACACAATTTAACGTTTTTAAATTTATTAAAGAAAACATTTTTCACTTTAATGTATCGTTTAAGAGTTATAGCTAAATTAACAAAAAATATCGAAAAAATCTTACTTTTTTGGCTGTAAAGGTTTTCTGTAGGTGGTGCGCGTTAGAGATTTATCTTTTTACATGTCAAAAAACTTTTCTGTAATTGTTCGCAATGGATTTCCTGTTTCGATCCTCAAGTTACTGGCCTAATATTCTTTAAATCGGATGCCGTTTTTTAAATCATCGCCTCTGAAATAGCAGACAAGGTTCATTTTCCTTAGAATAACATTAAATTCCATAATTTACATTCAAATCTTCACCTGCAAACAGGTCGATTTTTAGGCCTTTGTTCCAGGGCTTAAGAGAAAGTATTGCGATCTTGAAAATTTTCAGATCTCAGTTTATAAATGTTTTGAGGTCTCCTGAGTCGAAAGTCCCCAAGTCCCGCAAAATAGTCTCTGTGTGTGCGCGTACGATTCTCGTACGAAACTTAAATTGAGTATTTAAGGTTTGTTAAATTGAGTATAAGGTTGGACTCCGATATGACAGCGACTTTTTCGTTAAAATCAGCTAACTCGAAGCGCCACTTTATATCAACGTTGATACACATTATTCCGATTTTCTCGAAAACGGCTATAACGATTTTGATTAAACACGGCATATCAGTGTATTATTAGGTTGTTTTTAATATAAGCTAGATCTTATCCACATTGATGTCAATTTACAGGGCTTAAATGTCCAACGTTCATATACGCCTTCCTCTAAAGTACCTTTAATTAGGTTTATTTAGTTCTGCGCATGCGCTTGATTTGAATACCCATGTTTCACGTCGTGTCCCACAGTTTTACTATTTTTTAGTAGAATAAGTGCTCAGTTTTACTTAAAAAAAATAGTTAGGCTGACATCAAAACAACAACAATGGACTAACACCACAGTGAGTAGTGTTCTTATTTACTGTGTACTATTACAGACAGTGAATTTAGTGGTTTAACGTCTATAGGCTTTATCTCTATCGCCATATCAGCTGTGGCCTCTCTATTGCCCCATTCCAGTTATGGCCCAGCCACGTAACTGACTAGTCCACAGTCGGCGGTTCATCCATTATAAGAACACGCAGACGTAGTTTTATTTATTTATTTTTTCTCTTTCTTATTTTTTATATGCGATATTACCAACAAGTGATGTCAACCAAGAGGTCCCATTCAGTTGGATCTACCCCTCGTAGTTCACCGCCTAAACAAAAGAAACGTCGTAGTAAGCGATCAACACCCCCCGTAATTCCTCCAGCGAACACTCAAGTATCTGTATCTCAACCACTGCCAAGTACGTCTTCACAAGAAATGGACTCTCCCTTTTTTACACCTAATACATACCAGGTTCTTGAAAATGACAGGGAAGAGATGGAAGATGCACCTATACCCAGAGAACCACGCCCACCTCCTATCTTTGTCAAAAATTTGAGAAATTTCTAGTTGTTGTGTACTCAACTTAATAAAATCTGCCCAGGTAGCTATACATGCATAAACAGAACCAATGATACAAAAATAATACCAGCCACACCTGAATCGTACCGAATCGTAAAATATTTAACAGACACAAACGCGGACTTTCACACATACCAGTTGAGGCAGGAAAGAGCACTACGAGTTGTAATA